AAAGATCAGGTCCACCACGAAGGATAACTAGACTTTAATTATTGCTGATGATAAGTGAAGTGTTAAATATTGCTGAGGGACTAGATTTGACTTCAACTCATCTTCCTAATTTTGTAATCACACACAATTGGATTTAACGAAGTATATTTTGGAATCTTTTATACTAGAGAACTAGTTTGATTAGACAAAATCTTGATGTTATGAATATTAAGAATATTTATTTTTTATGACATCTTCAATATTGTGATGGCTATCAACAGTAAAGGAAAAGGTAATGTGAAGGCAAGATTGGACCTAAAAAAGAGTTGTAATAGGAGGACCTTAGATCTTCATTAGAAAAATGTAGGTAAACTAATAAAGCCTAAAGCTGCATATTGACTTACACTAGATTAGCAGAGAAAAATATTCAAGTAGGCGAATTCTTTGAATTTTCCAGTAGATGTGTCTCAAATTTAAGACATTATTTTGACTTGGGAATATGGAAGATATTCGACCTAAAGAGTCATGATTATCATATATTTTTGTACTTCTTACTATTTATTTCATTTGATGCGCTGCCCAAGCCAATGCTTGATCCCTTGATCAAAATAAGTATACTCTTCAGGGAGTTCTTGTATAAACTTTGAATGTTAACTCATTGAAAAATTTTGATGATAGTATTTTCTAATTATTATGCAGTCTCAAGCGAATATTTCTCCTACTTTCCTTATCTCATACATCTATGTTATGAGGTTATACTTGGGGGTCAAGTGCAGTGCAGACGGATGTATCCCTTCGAGAGGTTTATCTTCATGATGTATATAATTGTGAGTTGTATTTTAATACATAGTAAACTACCACCATATTTAATAAAAAATTATCTCTGTATTGCAGATTTTTAAATAAAATAAAAAAAAACTGTTAAGAATAAAGCATTTCTAGAGGGATCGCTAAGCGAAACATACTTATTACGTGAAAAAATTACTTCCTATTATTTTGAGCAATGATGTCAAATAAGCCATACTTTAGGTGACATGTCTTCACAACAAGAATTACTTATTTTTCAAATTTCATGAGAGCCTTCAAACAAGCATAGTACATGATATTTAAGCAAAAAAGAGATTTGGGCAACTACATTGTATGTTTTAATGAATTTGCAACAAAGTAATGTCATTTATATAGTAAGATTTATAGCGCCCCAACTCGATTCTCTCATTTTTTATTCAGAATGTTATATATACTAATTAATTTGAAGAAACAAATAACAATGATGTGAGCAGATTATTTATCGACACTTTAAACATGAAAGATGAGTTTATAATAAACAAGAAAATTTAAACAGAATTTATGACATGGTTCAAATTATACATATGTTGAAGCAACTCTTGAATTCATAGGTATGTAATATAATTGCAAAGTTCAAAGTTAGAGTAATTATACCTTTAGAATTATCATAGGTGTACAATGCAAGTAACGAAATTACAGATCAGAGATTACTAGACCTTGCTTGGAGCCTAATCGCAGTGTCATTACATGACAGATATTTGTTGTAAATGGTTATAGATTTCAAAAAAATTTTATGTCTGAAGGAAAGAAGATATATGATTATGATATTTGTGTTAAAGGAAGCACACATACACATAGAGAGATTAGCTGTTATGGCATACTTGAAGAAGCACTTCGGTTGCAATATCTTAATAAAGTTACGCACATTTTCTACTTTTTCAATTGTGTGTGGTTCAATCTTGCTCCAAATCAAGTAGCACACTTACCCCTTATGATATCACCCAATTCAAAATGAGCACATGATACATAAAGTTTGATCCATTTGTAAAGATCCTACTTTTCTATCAAATTGGTTTAATTATGAAATAGATACATAGATTCTGTAGTTTAAAAAAATATTTGTGTTATTTTTATAAATACATAAGTTTCGATGGCTATTGTTACATTAACTTAAAAGATGACATATCTACCTTAGATTCACCCTTTCTCATTTTGGTATGTAAGGAGTTAAGTACAATAATTGTCTTCTAAAGTTACACTTGTGATTGTGATGCAATGTGTGAAACCCATGAGCCTCACATATTAGATATGATCAATAAAAAATATTCAAATTCATAAAAATCATTCAAGTTGAGCTCAAACTCATTCTCCCAGGATCTTTTGACACGAAACAACATTCATTAAATTGCATTTGATAGTTCAAGGTACATATATTCTTATAGTAATGAAGAATAGGGGTTGACTAACAATAGGAGCTGACATCTTACATTTCCATAAAACAGTGGTTGGAGAGAATTGAGCATCTCAATCATAAATTACAATATATAAGATTGAGATATTAAAGATTCAAATTACATGTAGGTCTTGCGTGTTAGGTTAAGTACAGCTACCGAGCTTCCAAGTCAACAATAAGCAAAATTAAATTAAAATGTAGGGAAGAAATTATGATTGATTAATGAATGCTCCATATCTCATATAATTTATTTGTCTATAAATTTAATATGGGAAAAATGTGACAATCAATCAATAGGATTCTGATGGGATTAATGACACGGTTTGAGAATTGATAGCCTTCACATATGTTTCCATTAAGTTGACTCGCATGCTTACTTATTATTTTAATATATTTTTAGTTTCGTATGCTTAATTATAGATACGATATGTTAATACTTAAGTTGGACTTAGGTATAGTTTCCTTGACTTTTAGATGAGACTATGAGCCAGCGCAATTATGTGCTTCATATTGCGTGTGACGCGGAGAAGAACATGCCAGACTCAAAGACTTGATGTGAAAATAGTAGGCTTAGGAATAAGCCGAAGAAGGCCTCATAGATTACCAAATGGGTGATAATGGGAACAAAATTGGAGGAAAAAAATTAACATGATAATAAATATAAATATATAGAGATATCACATTATTCGGAGATCAGCCGTCCCATATCAATCCACTATTTTTTTTTTTTGGAATATCTAAATTAGTTTGAAGGTCACTATTTTTTTTTTTTTTTGGAATATCTAAATTAGTTTGAAGGATTGGATTTATTTATTTTTATTTTTATTTTTTTTGGCAGGATAGTGCTATCTTAATTCTTTGTGATTCTTTACTTTACTTTTGATCAATGTGTTGCTAGCCTTAGCATTCAAGCTTTGGAAGATACCTTTCAAAATTTTAAATCAATAGTCTTTATACTTGATGCATCCTAAATAAATTCGATTAATCCACACAAATCTCAACCAATATTTGGATAGTAAGTCTCAAAAATAAAATGCACACGCTCCAATTTATGATCAAATGAAATGTTTTAATAAGGTAAACTAAATGACATAAGAATTGAACCGATCTTAGCCCAAGTGAGCACAGATCAAACACTTAAAGCATAAAAAAAGCATTGGAAGCTACTTTGAGGGAACCAAATGATCTCCAATTCTGTCAAGTTCATAGTCAAATTAAGCATCTCGATTACATAGATCATACAAGTCTAAGTTCACTTAATTCTACATCATTAAGAAATTCAAATACTCATAAAAATTACATATGATCAACATAATTATTCTATGTCATTTAATAGAGTGATCTGAATTTATGCAATTTTTAAGGATATTGTCGCTCTCAAAATCTATAAATAGACTCACACTCTCTTCTTTAAAAGGAAGCAGACCTAAATGATAAGGCTGAAGAGGAGCTCCAAGCTCTTAATGATTCCCGTGCGTCGCTTCTGTCGAGCCACCTGACCGACATGCAGTCATCAAATTGTCATTGTCTAGCAATAGGCATGATCGTTGCCAGTACCATCATTGACAGATAACTCTTCCACCTACTGTCACCCCTAGACCATCATCACCCGGCCACCACTGCTGGACACCTATTGCCTCTTCGACACCACAACTTTCGTTGTAGTTGCCAAATCATTTCTACCTTCGCTTGGTGACTATCTCCCAACCCCATATCATAGGACCATTATCGCTTATCAACTAGCAAATCACAGCCATGTGGCTAAAGTTGTCACTGTTGCCGTCATAATCGTTACCATAATCACATCATTGCCACAATTAGACCTAGAGCTGTCAAAAAAAGATCGTTGTTCACTAAGAGTACATGTTTGTCTCACTTTATAGCTCGTGTTTGGCTTGTTCATTAAGTAAACAAGTCGAATATAAACAAATGTTTTAATGTCAAGTTATAAATGAGTCGAACATGACCAACCCTTTGATTTCCCTTGTTTAGCTCATTTTACCTCGAAATAAGGAAATTATTTATATTATTTAAATAATAATATAGTATATATTTTATTTATATAATAATATACCATATGTATTCCTATGTTTAAATCATAACTGTTTGTGTGGTCATGTGGTTATACGCCTTCTATTGCATAGAGTTTGTGCAGGCTTAAGTCCAACACTCTATATCAATTTTTTTCAATTAACTTTAACAAACTAATTTGAGCCAAACACGAGCCAAGCCTGAGCTCACTCTTGCTCCGCTAATTTACAGCCCTAGTTAGACCTCTATAGTATGGTAGCAACTGTCATAATTGATAACTAATCCATATCTCAATCACACATTCCCTATCGTCAGTCCACTATCATCATGGTAGGGTCGTTGTTAGTTTCCCAATATCATGTTCAATTTTTATAATATTATTTTCTTTTGTTCAAGAGAAGACAGTCCTATAATATACATCGGAATAATGAAAGAACTTCAACTTGGCTTAGCCCAGTTGCTTTCTTATATTTGATGCCAAGTGGGGAGGGGGGGGTGATCTATAAATATTTGATTTTTGTGCACCACAAGACATTAATAAATTTCTATTTTTGTACACTTCAACTGGATGATCTATAAATATTTGATTTTTGTGAACCACAAGACATTAATAAATTTCTATTTTTGTACACATGCTTTATTTTACATATAATCGACCAGTGATCAAAATAACTGCTTACTGAATGACAACAGTGATTAAATTCATATCGCTAATCTTTCAGTTCAACACAAACATCCAATGTAACCATTATATTATATTCATCACTATAATATTCAAACGCAATTAGAGCAGACCTCAAATATTACAATAAATAACAACTATTGAACTCCTTCAAACCTTAAAAATTACCACAAAGCAAGGTAGGAGAGCCAAAGGATTTAGCAAATAGAGCTCTTCAATATTCGAATAGAGACCAACTTTCCCAGCCAAAGAATCAAAACCAGATTGGCCAGCAATCTCCTGAAAGTTTTCTAATGGCCTGTGAACTCTCCCTGCAATAACCCTGCAAACCAACAATGCCTTCTTTATTGAAGAATCGTCATCACATAACTCAATCGATTCAATAGCTCTCGCACTTGTTGAAGTTGTAAAAACTCCAATTCCTCCCCGGAGGTCCTCTTTTGCTGAGAATCCGTGCCTTATGATTTGACAAACTCTGCATTTCTGTGAAGCGCAGAGGCTTGAAGACCCATTAATGGCGATATTGCAGGCGACTGTAGTGCCATGGAATCTTAGAAGCTCGTTTCCATCAGCAAGGCAACGAGGATGTTTCTTAGGAAGTTTGCTGACCTTGTTTTTGATCATTTCTCGATGTTCTTCGAAGCGAGCAAGAGTTTTCTGTGTGTTGTGAACTTTGAAGATTCTGTCGATTCGGCCACAACTGATCTGAGATTTTAAAAGACTTGTTCTGCAGATTATTTCCACAATTTTCCTGGAGGAGTCGCCTTCTACTAATTCAGTAACTGCAGAGATGAGGATTACTGCCTTGTCAATACTTTTGTGGAAAAAATTATGAATAAATTAAGTAACATCCATTTCAGAGCAGATATCCATATTAAGAATTAAACATGCAAAATTATAGTAACAAAAAGGCAAATTTCGTGTTCTAAAATCAGAGCCTGATAATCAATCACCCAAAGCAAGGAAATCCCAACAATTTGGCACATATACAAATGTGCACTGAACAAAACAAACAAAATTAACTAAAAAAACTGATAAGCAGAGTGTTACCTGCATGTTTGGATAAATGATGAGCTTCCAAATCCTCAAACTTCAAAAGCTGTTCTCCACATTTCTGACACGCCACATAATAAGCAGTATACTCAACCGAAGTCCTGGGCGTAAAACCACCATGAACTCCCATATCACCTCCATTATTTCCAACTAAGGAACCAGAAAGACTTGATCGAAAATATCCATTGCCCTCTCTCTTACCAACAATCCAAACAGGTGATCTTCTCGGAGGAGTAAGACTACCCACCCCCCTCAAAGGCCCTGGAGTCCCTGGCCTCAAAGTACCCTCAATGGGAGAACTCATACCTCCTGTGTCTTCCTCGCAGCGGCCATGGATGCTGGTAATCCTTAGCTCACACTTAGAATTGTTCATAATGACTTCATGTGTTATTGGGTTGAGGAACTCACTGCTTCCAATAGACTTTGGACTGCAACTCTGTGGTCTTTCCAAGTGTCGTTTACTTCCATGGATGACATCCTTGAGACTGGCTATGGATCTTGAGCAGCCAGACCTACTAAGCGTCCTGCTGAGAATGGAACAACTATGGCTTCTAGCTTCTGGGTTAATGACTTCGCCTGGCTCTGGTTTGCACTGTAGAGATCTCTTGAGAGAAAGCCAAACGCTGGGCATTCTATCCTTCTCTTTCTCTTCCTTCTTACTTTTTTGCTTCAAGAGAGCAGCGCTCCCCATGGCTTATCACTCGCTAAACTATGAAAAACTTGGAGAAACCAATCCAGTCTGCGGAGCCAGCAGGATCAAAGGATATGGAGGAAAGGAGAAGAAAAGAGAGAAGAGTAAAAAGGCAAATCATCAAGAGAGGAAACAATAAAGAAGCATGGAAGGCATCCAGTATTTGGCTTCTCGAGCTGGGAATCGATCCAAACAAGTTCGGAAATTTGCAGCAGCAGCTGTTTCAATTCTCCACTTTATAGGAAATTTTCAGGAAGGTTATGAAAAAAAAGGTATTTTGATTAGGGAGACAATGGTAATCGGTATCCTTCAGTCTTTCTGGTTGTCAAGATTTGAGTTTAGTTGGTAATAATAGCGTCTGCCTTAGAAATTATTTTGCATCAGGACATCTATGTAAATTTACATCAGGTGTTTAATAAGAGTGTTTAATAAGAGGAGGTCATGTCGTAATTTAGGCTCACTGACATATAAAATTTGGGCCTGGATTATCAGGCCACTCTCTCATTAGACATTTGACACAGATTTACATGGGTGTCCTGATATAATAATTTTTACTAATTTTTACTGATCATGGTGGAACTGGTTAAATAGGAAATATGTGGAATGTACGTAAATTTCTCATTAAAAAAAAGGGGGGTCTCGCTGTTCGTAAGAATAGCAGGTAAGCTAAACGTGATTTTAAAAAAATTTTATAAATAAATTAATGTGATTATGATATGACCTACATTATTACACGTACTTCTCTATAAAAATTGATATCCGAAAAAAAAAAAACATGTGAAAATTTCTAAGATTTCTCTATCCGAATGACATTTTTCTTTTTTTTACTCTTGAATTACTTCATTGATGTGTAAATAAAGAGAGTGACGAAGTTGTTGATGGCTTTATTCTGCATTTAAGGAGTATAGAATAATCGATAGGACCATAAATGCGAACGAGGGCCATTTCATATGGCGAAGTTTTTATGTTGTATTTTCGTTAAAATATCATTGGAATCTATTTTTGATAAATTATATAAAAAAATATCAAAATTTATGTCAAATTATTCTTAGGTTTATGGAATCAACAAAAATTTATTGAATAAAAAATTATATATGTTATGTACTGGAATATTTGTAATGAGAGAAGTATTTTTTTATTCCTTAACGTTGCATAAAAATTTCACAACTGCCCGCTATGTTGAGATCACTGCATATAAGACGAAAATTTTAATGAAAAATATATATATATAAAGTAAATAATCGCTACAGTTGAAAAAAGTTTAGTGGTATGAGTTCGAAATTATACAGGGCAGCCTTTTCAGTAAGTAGAAAAGAATCAAGAAAAATATAATAGATATGAAAGATGAACAGCATCTCATTTGATATCAAATATATCAGAACCCCTGATAATGCCACATGAGAAGCTTTTTTATTATTCATATCTATTAAACTTTACAGGAGACTCAAATATAATTTGATAATTGATGTCATGTGTTGGAGGCTCAATACAGCCATGTTGGTCTTTTTTCTGACAAGAGAGATCAAGCAACTAATAATGTACAAGGCAAATGTCAATGTCTTAAACATGACATATGATATCTGATAATAGTCATTAAGGACTACAAAAACTGAGCTATAGTCAATTGTTTGTTTGATGTCTTATTGGACATTGTTGAGGGATGAATGATGAATGTTGAGCACTAATTTTTTGTAGGCATTGGATGATGATAGATGAAGGATGTTAGAAGTCAAGTGATGGTTGACAAACAAATTAGCCATTCTCTTAAGAAAAGAGGAAATCGATGAACTTGAAAGACAAGCACAAGATTTTTATGACTACCGAGCGTTGAATGTCAACCAATGTCAATCATTGGACAACATAAGTTGGTGATAGTGGATTGTTATGTTAGTCATTGTCCTTATAGAAGAAGATATTAGGCAATGAAACATTAGGTATTAGGCTTTAATTACTAGAATGCAATAAGAAACTGTCAAGGGGAATATATGAATTTAGTTAATGGTGATCGGTCATCTTATTGTTCTCATAATACTAGGAAAGAATTTATGTAGATGGAAGTTAGATGTTCGTAGCTAAAATTTGTTGAATGTCTACCCATGATGGACATCATATTTTTTTTTATGATGATTATAAGAAAATTGATCAATGATTAGTTGTTGGCTTTATTATTTTACAATACCAGAGGATACTAAGTGACTAAGAAGAAGTAAATTGGATATTGATAAATTTTAGAGGTCACATCGATTATTTATAGCATAATATATGGTAGATTATGAATTTTAAAAGCTAGATGAACCATGGGAAATCAACATAGTTGCTCTGTTTGAAAAAAGAAAGTAGGCAACTTGAAAGATGAGTATTAGATGTTTAGGGCTCACATACATCAAATATCAATTATCATCGGGCAATAGACAACATCAATGAATAACACTATACTTAGTTGACATTGGGTAGTTAGGTTGGTTATTCTTCTAACTGACAGGGACATCGGGCATCATAACTTTATATATTAGGCTTTAATCATTAGAAAGAATTGGAACTTTATCTTGGAAAATATATGAAGTTAATCGATGGTGGTCAATTCTGAAGATTATAAGAGAATGTATGATAAATGAAATTTAGATGTTAATGGTTAAAGGATTTCAAATGTTGATCCAAATTGATGAACAATGCGAATTATAAGAAAAAGTCAAGCAATGACTTTTCATTGGATTCTTTCTTCTCCTATTATAAGAGGAGGCTAGATAGCCAAAAAGATGGATGTTAAATATTAGTGAATTCTAGATATTGAACATTAACTATTTATAGGAATTAGATTGTGATAGATGAGGAATCTTGAAATTTGGTTGATGATAGGGGATTGATTTTGTAGTTCTCTTACTAAGAGAAATTTTTTGGGAAACTTCAAAGAGAAGCACTAAATGTTTTTGGCTGGCAAGCATTGGATGTCGATCATTTTAAGGCATCAAATGAAAGTTAATAGGTATTATTGTAAGTATGGTTTTAATGGACACTCAATTTGGCTATTTTCTTAATAAGAGTGAGGATCGTGCAATAGAAAAATGGATGTTATACTTCAATCATTTTAAGCATTGAGCAACTATCATATGAATATTTGAAGTTAGTTGATGATGGTCAGTTAGCTTAATTACTTTATTAATAAGAAGGGTGACTATATAATAGGTGGAAGTCAGTTGTACTTAGCTAAAGGCAATTAGATGTTAACCTTTGGTGGGTGTAATACAATGATCAATAAAATTATTAAAATTAAGTAATGGTTTGCTGCTAGTTTGATTATTCTTCTAATGCATGGGGAGAGCAAGTGGCAAAAGAAATGGATGTTGGGCGTTAATGAATGATGGACATTAAATATTAGTGAATGATGTGCATTAGACATTAGTCCTTTATAGATATCAAAGGATGATAAATGAGGAAATTTAAAGTAGTATGGACAATTAGCTTTGTCATTTTCTTAATAAGAGTTGAAAGCAGATATATATATAAAGTGATTATTATATATTTTTTTGTTATAGACACAAACATTAATCTTTGGCAAGCATCAAATGAAACTAGATAATACATTATAATTCAGGTGATAATGGATGGTCAAGTTGGTCAATCTCTTAATAGGAGAAAATATAATGCAATAAAGACTTTGGTGTTAGGTTTCAATTATTAGTAAGCATTAAGCAACAATTATGAATTTTTTTTTAAGTTAGTAGATTGTGGTCGATTTATAAGAGTGAAATATATTGTAGAAATATGATGCTTTTTTTTTATATTTTTGTGTCATTTTATGCTTTTTAATGTTATATTTTACTTATATGTCTAGTATACATGTAAACCATATATTAGGGAGATATATGTAGCATTTTTACTTAGCGCCCGACGCTAACTCGATAAGGCCATCACATCATAAAATAGTGCTCTGGTGCCTAAATTAGATATGTTGGAATCAAAATCTCGAGAGTAGGACGTTGCGGTGCCAAAATCAAGTGCCCCAGTGTCACACCCAACAGCACTCTAGAGCTCCAAAAATAGCACCATGACATCCAAACCCTAAATTCAAAGCATAGAGACCTCAAAGGTAGCACTAGATAACAACACTCCAACACCTTCATTGAGCGCCAAAGCATTAACAAGCAACATAGCTCATTATGGTTGCAATAATATTTGGCCAAATTTTTTATAAGATGACTAATTCGGATAATGATATGGGCTGAGTGTTTTTGACCCTTGTAATTTTCATTTCCTAGACTATGCTTTCATTTTTATGGTAAGAGTGAGTGTGAGTGTGAGTGTGAGGTAAGCAAAGGATAAGATCAAGTTTGGTGAAACATACATGACACACTAAAACTTACTTCAAATTAAGTCAGTCGTATAATGCAAGTGCATGTGTCAAATTGTATTAGTTTAAGATTCTGCATATTGATCCCGCGATGAAAGTCTAACAATTATTTCTATAGAAAAATCTCTAGCTTACTGATGCAGCTCTAGAGTGCGCTATTTTTCTGCCTATTTTATGTCAATTTAAATCCCCAATAATAGTGCCAAAAACTTGACCCATCCCAAACTTACCAGTAATTTAGCTTCCAAAAATATGGTCAAAATCCTGACCCAATTTATATTAATTATCAAAATTGAATTAGTTCACACACTGGGAATTTTACGCAAGTGCACGTATCGCTTCAAGTTATATAGGGCTTTCTTTAAAAACCTCAGTATCGATCTCACAGAAAAGCGCAATAAGAAATCCCTTAGACTAATTTTAGTTTACTGCTATCAAGTTTTAGTTTAGAAGATGAAAATTCTTATGATAATAACATAAATCACAATATTCAAACTATAAAATTTAAAGTAATAAAGACAAATTTAAATGTGTTTAATGGATGCGAACAGAAATGTAACAAAAAAGCTAAGTTTACTAAACTAATTTCAAAACTTCAAAGTTGAAATGTAACAAAAAAGCTAAGTTTACTAAACCAATTTCAAAACTTCAAAGTTAAATTTATTAAAACTAAACAAAGTTTTGTGATGAAGAGTTCAAATTTAAGAAAGC